GCATCAGAACAGAACAACGAAGTCCCCACTCAGAAAGAAATGTGATGGTTTGAGTAGAGTTGGGAGAAATAATTCTGAACTTAAGTGCATTTTGGAAATCTCTCCTTTTGGCTCTCACATGCCATCTATCTTTAAATACTATTCACAGTAAGTAACATATTTGTAAAGCAAATATTACATATAATTTACAGATATTATCCACATGCAAATGTTACTCTTTGGGCTGCCAATCACAAGACCAGCAATTTGAAACTACTAGCTGCTCTGTGGGAGAAAGATGAAGCTTTCTACTCCTGCAAAGAGTTAGTCTCAGAAGCGCCTTAGGATTTCTATCAGTCGGTAGTGATTCAGTAGCAGTGAGGTGTGAGTTGAAAATAATAAAAGCAGTCATTTCTGTCTCTCCCTTTATCATTTGAGTCCAAACGGCTGAAAAGATCTTAGTCACACTGTCTGACGTCCCGAGGCTGCCCTGAGATAAATGACCCCTCTGTTGCTGTTCGGTGTCAAATTCAGAAAATGTTTGTTCAACGGAACAAAGCCCTACCCAGGCCTGAGCGACCCTCACCCTCACAGCTATCACATTTTAGCTCATTGTTGTAGCCGGTATGTGAATCCATCTCCCTGTAGCTCTTCCTCTCTTCTCAGGTGCTTTGCAAACAAAGCCAAAACCCATTGTCAAGTTGAGTCCATTTGGACTCATAGCAACCCTACAGAATACGGTGGGACTTCCCTTAGCATTTCCAAGCCTGTGGAGGAAGCTTGGTGGCACAGAGGTTAAAATGCTAGTCTGTTCACGCTAAGGGGTTGGTTAGAACCCACCTGTGTTCTGATGGTGAAAGATGAGGCAGGGCCCTTTCTGTAGGATTCCTATCCTTAGAAACCCTGGGGGGTAAGTCTACTGTGACCTACAGGGTCACTATGAGGCAGAATCAACTTGATGTCCATGGGGTTAGCTTTTAGTTTTAATTATTATGGGAGTAAATCTGCAGGCCTTTTCTATCATGCACCCACTGGTGGGTTTGAACGGCCAACCTTTTGATTAGTAGCCAAATGTTGATCTGCAGTGCCATCGGGGCTTCTGTCCTATATAAAGTAGGTTTTGTACTCAAGGGATCTTGAAAAGATCAGAGTGATATCATGGCACATTCGGTAAATGTTTCTGTGGTACTGTTTCCATGTCCTAGTGCCGCTGTAACACCAGCGTTACAAGCAGATGACTTTAAAGAACACAATTTACCTTCTCACCATTTTATAGGCGAGAAGTCAAATTTAGGTCAAGGCCCTGCCAATCTCATTCCCTGTCAGTAACTTCCAGTAGTCCTTGGCTTATAGCAGATTCTCACACAGCATCTGTGCTCCTGTTTCTGAGAATAGCTCTTTCTAATCTCCTTTTACAATTTCTAGATGATAATGGAATCCTGGTGGTGTAGCAGGTTACCTGCTGGCTGCTACATGTATGCAAGGTCAGCGGTTCAAAACCACCAGCTTTCAGGAGAAAGATAAAGCTGTCTACTCCTCTAGAGAGTTACATTCTCAGAAACACACAAGGGGCTTTTCTACCGTGTCCTGTAGGGTCACTATGAGTGAGAAAGGGCTAGCTGGCAGTGAGTAGGTAAGTGGTTATGTTTGGGACAGACACAATGAGTTAGTCCGGGTGGACTAGAGAAACCAATTCGTAGACACGTGTGTGTATAAGAGAGAACTTTATATCAAAGAGCAATTGTACATTAAAAAAACATCCCAGCCCAGTCCAGGTTAAGTCCATGAAGCTGAAATTAGCCCATATGTCCGTTACCAGTCTATAAATTCTTCTTCAGACACATGCAGCACATGCAATGACACCGAATGCAGGAAGAAAGATCGTAGGGCAGTAGGTGGAAAGTATTGTGGATTCAGTAGCCGTGGAAGCATCTCAGGGTTGGCAGGGGTCTCCATGTGGCTCCTTCAGCTCCAGGGCTCTAGCGTAGCTCCATGTGTCT